CAAACAGCGGTACAAAAAATAGTCGAAAACTATTGTTTTTCTAGGGTTTCAGAAGGGACGTTAGGCAGTTTTGGGGCTCGATTTTGGCGCTGTTCCGTCTTTCAGGGCCACTGTGTTTCCCTGTCCGGCAGCGTGCTTTTTCAGCTTCGGGAGGAAGAGCAGCAGCAGCAACAGCAACAGCAGGAGGGTTCTCTGTCTCACTATGTCTCATTAATATACAAACAGCGGTACAAAAGATGGTCGAAAACTATTGTTTTTCTAGGGTTTCAGAAGGGACGTTAGGCAGTTTTGGGGCTCGATTTTGGCGCCGTTCCGTCTTTCAGGGCCACTGTGTTTCCCTGTCCGGCAGCGTGCTTTTTCAGCTTCGGGAGGAAGAGCAGCAGCAGCAGCAACAGGAGCAGCAGGAGGGTTCTATGTCTCACTATGTCTCATTGTACAAACAGCGGTACAAAAAATAGTCGAAAACTATTGTTTTTCTAGGGTTTCAGAGGGTACTGTTCGGGCAGTTTTTTTGGGGTTCGTATTTGGCGGCTGTTCTCGTCCCTTCGGGCTCCTGTGTTTTCCTGTCGGCGGGCAGCGTGCGTTTTCAGGCTTTCGGGAGAAAGCAGCGAGCATCAACTAGAGCACAGGAGGGTTGCTATTTCTCAATCTATATCTCATTGTACATAACATCGTGTACCAAAATGGGGTCGAAAACTATTGTTTTTCTAGGGTTTCAGAAGGGACGTTAGGCAGTTTTTGGGCTCGATTTTGGCGCCGTTCCGTCCTTCAGGGCCACTGTGTTTCCCTGTCCGGCAGCGTGCGTTTTCAGCTTCGGGAGGAAGAGTAGCAGCAGCAACAGGAGCAGCAGGAGGGTTCTATGTCTCACTATGTCTCATTGTACAAACAGCGGCACAAAAAATGGTCGAAAACTATTGTTTTTCTAGGGTTTCAGAAGGGACGTTAGGCAGTTTTTGGGCTCGATTTTGGCGCCGTTCCGTCCTTCGGGGCCACTGTGTTTCCCTGTCCGGCAGCGTGCTTTTTCAGCTTCGGGAGGAAGAGCAGCAGCAGCAACAGGAGCAGCAGGAGGGTTCTATGTCTCACTATGTCTCATTGTACAAACAGCGGTACAAAAAATGGTCGAAAACTATTGTGTTATTGTTTTTCTAGGGTTGCAGAAGGGACGTTAGGCAGTTTTTGGGCTCGATTTTGGCGCTGTTCCGTCCTTCAGGGCCAATGTGTTTCCCTGTCCGGCAGCGTCCGTTCTCAGCTTCGGGAGGAAGAGCAGCAGCAGCAACAGGAGCAGCAGGAGGGTTCTATGTCTCATTGTACAAACAATAG